GGGGGGGGGGGGGGAGATGACCTAGCGATTGTGTATCTAGAGAAAAGTATCTCCAAATATGCCATCTTATTTTCCTCGAGTCCCCCCAGCAGATTATATAACACTTTACACTTGCAAGTCCACTAATCCCAATCCAAGGCATGTTAAGCTGCAAGAAGAGCACTGAGGATCATCCAGATAATGTACTAAAAGACAGCCTAAATCATGAACTCAGCATAAGGAACAATATAAAATTACTCTGAGTCGTCTGAATTTGCAATCTAGGTTTCCAAGGGTTAATGCAGCGCGAAGGGATTCAGGAAACCATCGGCTGAAGAAGCTAGCATGACGGAGTCGGATGCCTCAGTTCTAACTTCTTTTAAATCAAAGATGCAGGCAGGCACAGGGCTCAGGACCACTGCTAGCTGAGTATATCCAACAACTGGTGCCCAAACAGAGTTTTCAGATAATTGTTGCACACCCTTACGTGTACTGCTTTCTACAAGTGGAAATGCATAAGGCCATGAATATAACAATTTAGGCAAGGGAATACTCATATCCAACACAAACACAAGAAGTTAATCCTGTAAGACAGCAAAAAATAAGTCGACTAGGTACTTGTTATCTTTTCTTTTACTTCACAACATGTATTTTGTCACTATCCTACTAGCTATACTTTAAAGAGTTATTCCTAGAAGGAGAACCTGAACTTTGGAAACATATATTCTAGTAGTTAGACCAGGAACAAAACTGATTATCAACTAAAGGTACATGTTGCTAAAACCGAAAGGACGAATGCATTACCAAAGTTAGGTTCGACACTTGAAGTGCTTAAAAAGTTCTGCATCAGTTTTATTAACTAAAGCAATATTTGATCCTTCAACCTGAGACATTTTGCAATTATAAAAATGACATTACAGAAAGTGGTGGACTTTGACACCAGTACACATATTGGTGGACTTTGACACCAGTACACATATAGGTCCTTGGTCAAGCATTTGCTACTTAACCTTCCAGTAGTATACATATAGCATGGAAAAGAGTACTCACTCTTTGCGGCCAAGCTGATCATTTTCCCAGGACAAAATCAGTAACCTAATCAAGTTGTTATCCTGTTTGATGGAGTATACCAACTTACCAAAATATTCAATAACAAATCCTCCAGTGCAAGATCGTGAAATAGCAGCTATGCATGCAATGCATGAGGAGATGTGAGGGTACACTGGAATGAGGGAATGAGAAGATCAAGGAACTGACATAGCAGACATTCACTTGTACTTAGTACTTACACATGATCAATCGTCAGCACTCAGGTTACAGCCAATTTGATCCAGGAAACTCATGTGAACTGCTGTCATCTCTCTGTGTTGAAGTCAACCAAGTTTTACCAATTCAAACCTGGGGCAGTTGTGACTAAACATGAAAATATACTGATAAATGAAAAAGATGCACACAATCTACATCAAACTGCTAAGTAGCAATTATTTTACTATCCAAAAAAGAATGAAACGCAGAAAAGTAAATCATGCCAAATATCTATATCATAATTACTATCCATAAGTTTATCACGCCAACACACTAAACAATGCATGTCATATTGACTAATTTGTAAAATATGAAGCCCTAAAATATCTAATTAACAAATCATAATTCACACTGATATTTTAGGGTCCTTATCCTCATATGTAGCGCACGATATCATGTCTCAGACTAAAACTTCAAATAAACAAGTCAGCAGGAAATTCATGCAACTTTCTGAAACAAGGCAAAGCTTTCAGTCTAAAATATTAACTAAAACAAGCCTCGTACATGAAAGGAAAAATATCAATGCAGGTAAGATGTAACTGTAACTCAAATCACAAGATAGTGATGATCTGGGGAGTTCCCAAATAATCAATATCTTTACAAAAATTGCCTATTTGTAAGTGGCAACTCACGTCTAAAATACTATAAAATAAAAAAATAAAAGAACTCTCATCTAAAACATTAAAAGCTTGATGCCATAATACAGCAATCACAATAACTATGACTCAACCCCAAGCTAGTTGGAATTCTAAATGTCCATGTCACTCACATTAGACCCATCTCAAGCCAATGTTTAAAAAGTTAAGTTCTCTAGAACTAGAAGTTATCTACATTCTCTACTGGCATACAAATATCTAGAAGACTAAAAGATTCATTTCAGATATTGGACCTAAAGTAATGTACCAACATGGCTAAACCTTCATCCCAACTAATTGATATCACCTATATGGCTCCTTTTCTTCCGTTATGCCATATTTTTTGCCAACTAGATATGGATTTCAAGAGATTGTAGATCTTTCACAAAATTTCCTTCCATGTAATTTTAGGTCTACTATCCCTTTTAAACAACTTCAAATACCATGGTTTTACACCTACAGACCGGTGCTAAGGGGGGCCGATGTAGGTCATGACCAAACTATCTCAAAGACCATCTAATATTTTATCTCATTTTTGATATGTCTCTCCATTTTATCTTCTATATGTGCTACTTGCTTTAAATCTAATCATTGATCTTGTATACTTAACATCCACATTACTATGATACTCACCTAGTAGATATGTTGGATGTAAGATTCCCAATATGCACTTACTATATAACCTTGCCAGTCTTACAACAGTACAACAAAAGAATAAACTCCACTCAAAACTAATATCCTAATACTGTAATGAATGCGCTCACTAATCAATCTTCAAGAAACCCGCCAACTAACACAATCTATTGAATCTATGACGAAGGGTTTCCCAAACACAAACAACTTGGTAGCAAAATCTTAGAGAAAAAAAGGCCAATACTAATAGTTTTATGTTCTTCAGACGGGTCCCAATCATATGGGTTAAATAGCAAAAGTTCAGGAATAACACTAGTGCAGCAAGAGAATTCAACATTTATTCTTGAGTGGTCAAATGGAAAAGAGAGTAATAAAAACTAAACAAAAAATAAATAGATACATTAGTACCTCTCGAGCCTTACTTATTGGTGAATCAAGCTCTAGGATTAATTGGTTTACCCATATTATGCGAATATAGAACAAGCAAAAAGGGGTTTCCTTGAGGCTCATGATGAACTAATTCTGCCTCTGACAAAGATATATTGCATAAGATACAATCAGCTGATTTTCCCAACATCAATAAAATTATTTACCATATTAGAAAAAGATACAGTCAGTTGATATTCAACATATGTTAGTCTTAAGCTACCAAATAAAGATTTGAACTGTGGTTCAGAAAAGGAATATTCCTGTAGAGACAACCTCATAATAGCTTCCACACGATAGACAATCAAATAAAGAATCCATCATGCCGATGTGATAGAGATAAATCTCTCAGGAATCTGATTCCTCTTGCAAGCATAAATTAAATAACCAGTAAGTGACATCATTTCAAAATGCAAAAGTCATAGGCAAATAAAATCATCCTGTAAAAGCAGTACAATGGGGAAAAAACTTGAGAGAATACTCATTGAAAAAACAGAAAAATTCATTTATCAAAGTAGTCAAAAGCACACATTAAGATATTTTCATCCAGGAATTACAATTGCCTTAAAGGAAAAACTTAGTTTTCCTGAGAAAGAGTATCTGCGGAAGTACCTATCTCACTGCAAAGATAGAATGTACATGTTGAACAAAGATTACCATCTAATGCCTTCAGAAGGCAATATCAGATCAAAGAACCTACTTATTCACTGCTATACCAACTCCTACCTAAATGAGTACCCTCAGCTTACTTTAACCTTTGTAACTTGCAAGAGAAAAATCCGACACTTCAGCAAATTCGCCATAGCAACCAGTGGCCAACTACAAGCTATACCAGTTTGAATTCTGCACTTCACATTTTAAACCAGAATAGGGTTCTCGTTATCTTCCTTCTTAATAGGTGACACAGGCAATGCTCCTTCATCCTCACCACACCCGTTATTCCCGACCAAAACCCTAACTTCCTTTTCGCAATTACCCTTCGTTAAACTCTCAATACCCTTATCGTTCTGATTCAATACATCCCAGAAAAAGTCAGTTAACACGCTCTCATAATTCGGCATCTTTGCATACCCAGGGAAATAGTTAATATCAATGACAAGATATCTATTTCCAACTCTATTATCCCTAATCACATCAAAGTTAAAAAGATGCAATTTCGTTGCCCGCCTAAGTCCCCTAGCTATATCAGTAAGAAAACTCAAAGGGGGCAATTCCGCATCATCCAAATTCATCAATTTATAGTATTTATCATCATTCTTTTCACATGTATTCAAATTAGAAACCTGCGAAAACGACAAGTAACTCTCTGGTCTCCCTAAATTATCCTCCGTCACATCGGGTAATGACTTCCTCTTAACACATTTCACATAATCACCAACCACATACACCTTAAAAATCACTGCCCCGTGATTCACAAACTCCTGTAACACAATGGGCGGTTTCAATTTTCCTAGCCCGTCTTTGTTAAACACAAGTAACATTTTATGTGACTTCGCACTTCCATCAGCCACTAATGGTTTCGCAATCACAGGAAATTTCAACCCTTCATTTTCAAGGTATAAAGCCGACACCATTTTCGCATCGTATATTACAGTCTGCTTAGGAATCCCAAACGACGCCATTTGGCCCTCGATCTCGAGCTCCGTCACAACCTGAAGCATCGAAATCCGATTGTGCAACCGCTCAATCGATTCGGGCGAGTCGATTATGAGCGCGTGAGGGTTTTGGGAAGCGTAGTCCTTCAACTGACGCTTCCAATCGTCGCCGTAGAGTTTGTGGAGCACGCAATCGAACGGTCCTTGATCAATCAACGGCTTATCTGTATCGATTTTGATGAGATCGATTCCTCGTTCCTTCGCGAGGTTGACGAGGGATAGTTGAATGAAACTGGCTCGTTTCTTTGGAGCCAGCGCGTATCCCACATCGTATCTCTTCATTGACTCCTCCACTGATAATGGATAACCCGATATCTGACCCTGTTACTATTATACGATAAATACGAGGCACTTTTTAAATTTTTCAAAACAGTTCAACTGAGGTACGAGGAACCACATTATTGTGAATTAAATGGAAAAAAAGGCATAGGTTTTGGTGAATTCGGAGGATTTAATTCTGGAAATTTCGACAGGATATGTTTGTACGAGTGAGAGCAGGATTGAGTGAAAGGGGAAGAGGAGGAGCGAAATGGTGAGAAAGGGGAACATATATAGGTCGGAGAGGGGGATTTAGGGTTTGATAAACGTACAGGCGTTGAGGTTGTGGTAGACACGTGGCATAGTTTAGGGAACGTGATATGATAGCTAGATTATGAGTGAGAGAATCTGCAGTGACAGAGGTCAACTTTAATGATGTAAAATAAAAAGGAGGTCGACTTTAATGACAATTTTTTTATTTTGACCAAGGTCAATCAACCCACCAATAACTTATTTCGGCTTTCTACACTTCTTTCATTCATTTCTTTTGAGGTATCATCTTTCGTCTTTTTAAATTTACTAGTTACAACATAAGCGCATGGCGTGTACTCTATCGTTGAGTATAATTATTTTTAAAAAATTACATAATATTTAATAATATATTATTGAATTATAAAATAAATTAAAAGGAAAAATTCAAGCATATGAAAGTGATGAAGATTAGTGATATTTAGCTAACTCAACAAAGAGAAAAAGTCTTACTTCTACAATGTCCTTAAAACAATCTCACACTATATTATTCTTATCAATTCCTCGTATAGCCGTATGATTATAGAGTTAAATTAAATTTAAATAATTTGGTTTTCGGAATGTCATCCATTTAAAAATAAATTTATATCATAATCACTTGCATTTAGTTGTCTTCATCATGTCGAGGAAAAGCAAAAAGATTGCTAGACAAATAAATATAAACATAGGCTTAAAAAGGAATTTTCAATTGGTTAAAACTTGTTGACGATAGTTTAGACGCGGAATTTGAATAATTTAATTAATAATAAAGTTTTGTTTTTGTTTGTCATAATTAGTCTTTAGTAATTTCATGGATGAACAAAAAGAACAGCCAATGTGTAATTTGAACTTTCTTAAATTTACAAAAATAGAACAAATATTCTAATCCCTTAGTAATAGTAATTGTTCTTGAAGATAGAGATAACACCTAAATAGAATAAATATTCAATAAAAAGCGATTATATTTTAAGACATAAATAAGTGTAGAATAGTTTAATCTCTTTCCTAATTAATATTTCTTAAGGGACGTGTAAAAAAGAAACGCGACACATAATATGAGACGGAGGGAGCATAATATAACCATCCTAATAATAGGTAAAACTCTGAAGTTGGCGTAGTTACTGTTTTCACTTTACTTTTTTCTTTTGCTCGAGTTTTTTTATTTTAAACAAAATTTAACTACGAATATAATTCTTGGTAATACCTTTGACATACACAATTTTATAATATATTGGACTTTAACCTTCATTGAGATTGACATATAGAATTAATCTTTGAAAAAAAATTTATATATCGAGAAAAATAAATTACCTCAAGAAATATGTACTATTATTCCTTGCGGCAATGGTTGTTTAAACCTGAAACAAGGGAACACAACCAACTAATTAATAGAAGAATGGTTATTGTTTCGCTGTGTAAAAGTACTATACCAAATTAAAAATTGTAGAATAAATTGAAATGGTTGATAGCATTACTATGGTTAAATGCACCAAATTAAACCTCATATACATATTCTAAAAAACCTAAAGTGAATTTTAAATCTTAAATAAAGGAAATGAATCTCCAGCCTAAAGAATCTTTAAGCGAAAATAACATGGGTATTAAAAGAATCTCAAACCTAAATGAATAAAGAATCCAAAACAAAACCTAAAGAATCCTAAATCTAAAGAAAAGCCATACGGCACTAAAGAACCATAAATCTAAATAAATAAAGAGAGCAATATATAGCCAACAAAAAACGGTAATACACGATAGTTTTTCATTTTTTTTCCACAAAAAAATATTTATTGGTTACAATTACAATTATATCTAACATTATATATATATATATATATATATAAGGGATAAAAAAACGAACGACATTTCGATATGGGTTTCGTGTTTTTAATGTAGTATAGATTTAACTACCTAGTATTAATAATAAAAAAAGAGTTAATACCATAAACTATCAAGCCTTATCAGTTTCGTATTTAAATTATTCGGTGTTCCTAAAATCCTCCTGAACTATATTCTTCTTATATTAAAACCTCCACATTGCATTCTTAGAGGTGCGTCTAATACACACTCCTAATTATCTAAAAAATATGTCATGTGGCAATACACGTGGCTATTTAACTCAGCCTACCTCCCCCCTCCCCCCCTCCAATCTATTATTTTTTTTGTCAGTTACCTACTTAAACTGTCTGGGATCCCCAAAAACCCTCTTGAACTATATTTTCTATATATTAAAACCATATCTTGAATTCTTAAAGGTGCGTCTGTCAACTATATAACTTATGGTTTGTAATAAGTTTTTATATAGTTTACTCATGATGTATTATTCTCAGATGACTAATTAATTCTAGGAGTTTTGGCCAAAATAGCATCTAATGTAATGTATTAATTTTAGGTTTAATTGTGGTTGTGGTTTATGCTAGACTCCAATTGTATAAGTACTTCTTTACATTCACTTTGCAACACAATAAAAAATCAATGAAGGCATATAGTGTTGTATTTGTGAAAAATTATCTTTTACTACATAAACAAGATTACACAAAAAAAATTATGCAAACAAAAAATCAATTGCCCAGCAACTACATTCTCTAATTCTAGATTACACACACATGTTTTAAGAGATTTAACTTTATTCTCTACAAGGTCTTGAGTTTAATAAGAAGATATAAATGGGTGTTCTTTCAATAATACGTATAAGACATAAAATAAGACTAAAACACGAAAGAGAATAAATTATTTTAAAGAAAATAAGAGAGAGAGAGAGAGAGAGAGAGAAATTCAAAGGAAACTCATATAGAGAACTGAAGAAAAAAGGTGAAATAATGAAGAAAGTGAAAAAATAAATAAGAAAAAAGTAAAGAAATAAGGAAGAATGGTGGAAAAATGAGGAAGAAAGGTGATATAAAGGAAAAATTATCTTTTACTACATAAACAAGATTACACAAAAAAAATATGCAAACAAAAAATCAATTGCCCAGCAACTACATTCTGCCAGGTGATGAGTTAATATTTCTTGACATTTTAGACCCTTCTTGTCTCTAATCGGGTTGATTTGATAGGGACTTTGCTTGAATTATGGTCTAATGTGTTGCTTTTTTGGTGGAGGTGTAGATGAGATGAATATGGAACGAATAACAGATAATTTGGGAGAAAAAAGAGCTAAAGAGGAGGAAAAAGAACTGCGCGAAAGGCTAGTATGCGTATGAGCGCGCACATGAGGCAGACGACCTGGAGGAGATGCGCGCACAGGTGCGCGCCCAAGCTCTCAGGTGCGCCGCAGCGCTCGCCCGCTTACGGAAAGTTTAAATCAGTCCTATTTTTATAATTTTTGGACATTCCCCTTAACCTATATGAAGCCTAAGCTCGTCCCAAACTAGGTATCTAGAATTTTGGGAGCAACTTTTGGAGAGAGGAAGGCAAGAAAACAACGAAGAATTTGAGTACATCATCTAAATCATTCAATACAAAATTTTGTTTGAATTCATGGGGTGTAATATTTTCTTGCCCTCCTAATACTCATGTGATGAGCAATTTCTTCACTATGCAATAGTCCTTCTTAGGGTTATTGACAAATATTGTGTTTTGATTATTATTCAAGGAATTGAGTTCTGTTACTGCTTGAATTCGTTGAAAGAGTTTCGAATTGATTTGAAAGTTGTTTATGATTCTACTTTAATTGAAAGAGAAGTATTGCTGCAAATATAATTGTCTTATCTTGTTTGAGTAATCTCACGACTCTCATAGGTAATCAAAAGAGCTTGTAGAAGTATCAATTAACCTAATCTAGAGGAATAGTTGAGAGACGTTCTTCGTAAGACCATTCATTCAACATATTCTTGAGATGTTCATAGCACTTGTTATTAGGTTATTTAACGATACTCTCATTCATTCGAAGGAAGAATTTAAATCCTAAGGATAATCTAATCAGCTATTGAAATCGAAAGAGTCAACAGAACTTAAGAACTGAACTTGTAACAGAGTTATATCCCGAATAATAGTTGTGCACATATCTTGTCAATGCCCTTATTTCTCTCACAGATATTCAATTATTGCTACCTAGATCCCCAATTTTCAATAATCATTCGTAATTGATAATCTACCATGCCGCACACATGATGGTGATTGTGCTGAAAATTATAATTGAAATTGTGATTGTGGTCGATGTCCCTAATGGATAGCCTAGCCGATCGGGTCGTGATCGGACTCCGTGTTAAAGATGGTGGTATTGATATTGAGAGAAATTATGGTTGATGTCTCTAATGAGATGGCTTAGCCGATCGGGTCGTGATCGGACTCCGTGCTAAGAGTACGGTGGTACTAGTTTTGTGAATAATGGTATGGTAAATAATGGTATTGTGGACAATGGTATATCGATACTAAAAATTTTCCAATGTGAGATATGAAAATTAATTTGAACACTGTCTTGATCCTAAAATTGAGGTTTGATGTTGATTAAGGCTTTCATTGATATTATGATAATCTTGTTTGTATTATTTGTCATTCTATTGAGAGAGTGTTTAGTTATACATACTAGTGCTATTCGACGGTACTAACGTCCCTTTTGCCGGGGGCGCTGCATCTTTAAATGGATGCAGGTGGTTCCACAGCAGGAGATACTAATCAGTGATAGCAGTGCACCTTCTTTCCAGCTGACTTGGTGAGCCCCACTTTATTCCGGGGTCATGAATCTTTTGTACTTTGTGTATTCTGTTTGAGGTATAGCCGGGGCCTTATTGCAAGCATTATCATTGTACTCTTGTTTATCTATAGAGGCTCCATAGACATAGTGTGGGTTGTATATTGGTGCTGGAAAAGACAAACTATGCTATGTTGTAGTTGTATTACTTGTCTATTTGAGACTTTAAAAATGATCAAACTATTGGAAATGAATTGGTAATTGCAGACATGACCATTTTATTGTTTAATTAAGGAAAACATATATTCTCTTTATTCATGAATGGGTTTGGGTAGAAGGAATCTAACAGGCTTTCTCGGTCGG